AAGACACATCTGTTGTGACCGGGCTGAGTTTGCTGATCTAGTTCCGTTGGAAACTGGAGAGAAGCTCTTCATAGGTAACTCTGCAACTTCTGTGATCAAGGGCCAAGGAACGGTGTTCTTAAAGATGACCTCAGGCAAGGAAGTGAAGCTCCACAACGTGCTTTATGTGCCCAACATCCGGAAGAATCTCATATCTGGGACAATGCTGAGCATGCACGGCTTCAGGATTGTGTTTGAAGCCGATAAGATAGTTTTGTCCAAAATGGAAATGTATGTGGGAAAGGGTTATGTAAAAAGTGGCATGTGGAAAATGAATGCCATAGTTGTAAAACCCAAAAAGATGAATAAAAAGAAAGAGTCTTCCATTTATATGCTTGAGTCTTCTAACTTATGGCATGGTAGACTAGGACATGTTAATTATGATACTTTGCGTAGATTAATTAACTTGGATCACATTCCTACATTTCATATCGATTCCAAACATAAATGTGAAATTTGTGTAGAGGCAAAACTAACAAGGTCATCATTCCAAACAATAGAAAGGAATACTGAGCTACTTGATTTAATACATAGTGATGTTTGTGACTTAAAGTTTGTTCAAACTAGAGGTGGTAATAAGTATTTTATCACTTTCATTGATGATAGCACAAAGCATTGCTATGTATATTTGCTGAAAAGTAAAGATGAAGCTGTAGAGAAATTTACTCTCTACAAGCAAGAAGTTGAAAACCAACTTAATAAAAAGATTAAGATGGTAAGAAGTGACCGAGGTGGTGAATATGTTGAACCATTTAGTGCGCTTTGTGCACAACATGGAATTATTTACAAAGTCACACCTCCATATTCTCCCCAATCGAATGGCATTGCTGAACGAAAAAATCGTACCTTAAAGGACATGATGAATGCAATGTTAATAAGTTCTGAGTTGCCACAGAACATGTGGAGGGAAGCCATTTTATCGGCTAATTACCTTTTAAATAAGGTTCCGCGTAAGAAAGTTGATAAAGTCCCCTATGAATTGTGGAAAAGAAGGAAACCTTCCTACAAATACTTAAAAGTGTGGGGGTGTTTGGCCAAGGTAATGGCACCAACACCAAAGAAGATGAAGATAGGTCCAAAAACGGTTGATTGTATCTTCATTGGGTATGCTCATAACAGTACCGCATATCGGTTCCTTGTGCACGAGTCTAAAAACCCTGACATACACAAGAACACGATAATAGAGTCTAGAAATGCATCATTCTCTGAACATGTATTTCCATGTAAGACTAAGGAAGATGAGCCAAGTTCATCAAAATGAACTTTTGAGACTATCATAGAAGATTGTAGTCAAAATTCTGGAAATGATGAAAATATTAAAACGGAGGAAAAGCCTAGACGAAGTAAGAGGGCAAGGATAGAAAAGTCTTTCGGACCGGATTTTCTAACTTATATGCTAGAGGCTGAACCTCAAACATATAAAGAAGCTGTGAGCTCAACTGATGGTCCTTTATGGAAAGAAGCCATAAAGAGTGAGATTGATTCCATCTTACAAAATCATACTTGGGAACTAGTAGACCTTCCACCAGGAAATAAACTACTAGGTTCTAAATGGATTTTTAAACGAAAAATGAAGATAGATGGAACAATTGACAAGTATAAGGCCAAACTAGTAATAAAAGGCTATAGACAACGAGAAGGCCTTAATTACTTTGACACGTATTCTCCTGTGATGAGTATAACATCTATAAGGATGATACTAGCATTTGCTGCGCTGTGGAATCTTGAAGTTCATCAAATGGATGTAAAGACAACATTTCTAAATGGAGATCTGGAAGAAGAATTCTACATGGAACAACCTGAGGGTTGTGTAGCTCCAGGACAAGAGAAGAAAGTTTGTAAATTGGTGAAGTCGTTGTACGGACTAAAACAAGCACCAAAATAATGGCATAAGAAATTTGACGATGTTATGTTGTCAAATAGATTCAAAATCAACGAGTGTAACAAATGTGTTTATGTCAAGAATACAGATGATGGTTATGTCATGCTTTGTCTGTATGTAGATGACATAATAATTGTAGGTAGTAATGATCGGATGGTCAGATCTACTAAACACATGTTGAACTCAAGGTTTGACATGAAAGATATGGGACCGGCTGATGTGGTCTTGGGGATCAAAATCAAAAGGGTGCCTGATGGTCTCATATTGACTCAGTCACATTACGTGGATAAGCTACTTGACAAGTTTAACAAGTATGATTCTGGTATAGCCAAAACTCCTATTGATATAAGTCAACATCTGTCTAAAAATAGAGGGGAAAGCATATCCCAGGTGGAGTATACTAGAGTGATTGGCAGTCTTATGTACTTAATGAGCTGTACAAGACCAGATATTGCCTTCACTGTAAGTAGATTGAGCACATTCACGAGTAACCCAGGAGATGACCACTAGAAAACAATTGTGAAAGTACTGAGGTACTTAAGATATACTCGTGAATATGGATTGCATTACACAAGAGAGCCTGGTGTTTTAGAAGGATACTCTGACGCGAGTGGGATATCCGATACACAGGACTCTAAGGCTACCAGTGGATATGTATTCACCTTGGGTGGTGCAGCTATTTCATAGAAATCCTTTAAGCAAACGGTAATAACCAGAGCCACGATGAAAGCTGTGTTTGTTGCTTTGGATAAATGTGGCGAAGAAGCTGAATGGCTTAGACATTTCTTGGAGGACATTCCGGATTGGCCAAAGCCTGTACCTGCAATTTGCATACACAACGATAGCCAATCAGCTATTGGTAGAGCACACAATATAATGTATAATGGTAAGTCTAAACATATACGTCGTCGACATAATACCATTAGACAATTGATCTCGACAGGAGTCATAGTCATCGACTATATAAGGTCAAAAGATAATATTGCGGATCCGCTGACCAAAGGACTGAATCGAGATCAAGTTGAAAAAACATATAGAGGAATGAGATTGAAGCCCATGGAAAAATAGGTTGAAGCAATGGAAACCCAACCTAGCTTACTGAAGATCCCAAGATCTAGGTTCAATGGGACAACTAAATTGTCTAGACCGGCTGAGTTCATTATGGGGGTAACCCCAGCCTATTCCTATGATGATAACAGTGAAACCCATATGAGAAAAAGGTTAAACATTGGTTTTTAATGATTCTTATGCGTCGGATACGTCAGAAATCCGAGCGGAGTAATACGGGTTACTCTTTATTAAGAAATCACCTATGTGAGAGAGAAGTGGGGCCGCTTCAAAGGAGAATTGTGAGGGCTCAATTCTTTAGAAACTCTTGCAGAACCAGGTAGATGTTCATGGCCAAAATAAACATAACCATGAGAACAGAACTGTGTCAGGAAGATGTCTGTGTGAAGTATAATAACGTTTACACGAAGGCAGAATAGTTCAAAGACATTGCGTCTACTGGTCAGGTAGTAAAGTTTTTGTATTCTCACAAGGGAAGGTTCAAAGGGTAACGCCTACCTATCCTTTGCAGGCATCGACCGCAGAACTCTATCACCGTGTCGAGTTTGTGTTTTTCTTGTCATAGGTCAATTTTTCATTCATGTGGGGGATTGTTAGAAAAATGGCTTGTTAAGCCATTTTAAAGGCCCATTTTGAGGCCCATATTCGGATGGGGCCCAATAGGTTTTTGGGACGGGTCTCGATGGATTTGCGTTCTCCGTCGCGAGGAGATCGAAATCAAGTATTCATACACTCAAAATGGATTTTGGGTGAATGAGAAATTGATGGTCTAAGTATGGTACTTGAAATGGTAGATGTAGAAGGAAATTGTAAAAGTCCCACATTAGCTAGGAGTGAAGCCAATGTGGTGTTTATAAGTGATTGCACTTTGAAGCCTTGGTAAGCATGTATACCAGAGGTGTTCTCTCACGCGCAGGGGGGGTGCGAATCACGATCCCGACGGGTTTGGGGCCTAATGTGTGCGCCCGCGACCTGCGGACACGAATGCCAGACCGGAAAACCCGTTCCATGCGAGCTTACTTTTGCAATTTTTATTTTTGCTTAAGCTTAATGGTGTGCTTAAAACCAAGCTTAATTGTGATGATAAAAGCTGGTTATTGCATCAGTTTTTCCTTGAACTTAGATATGCTTTGTGGCTGGATTCATCATGGAAAATCAAAACATTTTGCTTCATTATTTTGCAGAGTAATGGCTGGAATAAATCTGGGTTATTACACCATAATGTCTTGGTGTAACACCCAGATTTTGGAGCCTATATAAAGGCCAAACTCCACATGAACAAAGCATACTTTTCCAGAAATCTCTTCCTCTCTCTCCGTTTCTCTCTTGCTTCCAGAGTTGTGTGTTTTCTTTGTCTTGTTTAGTTCGGTTTTGGTGATAAAGGAAAGATCAAGTTCTAGTTCGCCGGACGGTTCTGAAAGTGCATCGAGCTACCGTCGTTGTCGTTGTATCATGGGAGACGGACGTACAACGTAACCTCAAGCACACGCCGGAGGGGACGAATCTGTTTTAAGGAAAACGTGGTCCACGTGCCTCGACATCCTTGCAACTTTCATTTCCGAGTTTTTGGTAAAAAGGTTGAATTACAATTGTATGAATTTCAGTTTTGTTCTTCCTTAACTTGTTCCTCTTCTGTATTATCCACTATTTCGGCTAATAGGATTGACTAATAAGAACCCTATAGATCTTATATAAGGGTGCGTTTGATTGCAGTGGGGGAATGATTATGGTATTGGGAATGAGAATGGTAATGGTAATGGAATGAAAAAAAAAGTTGATTAATTTATTTGATTGTAATTTTAAGAATACTATGAAATGGAACATAAATATTTTCATGTTGACAAAATTACCCTTATGTTATATATAACACTAATATTATATATATATATATGTAATTAACATAATATATAAAATGTAATACAATGTAATAAAATTATTATTATATATTATATAATTATGATATAGAAATATAATAATAATATTAAAATGGTTAATATAATGATCATATTATGAAATATATTATAAGATTATATAATAAATAATAATATTTCAGTTATAATATAATTAAAAATTACAATTATAATATACTATAATATAGTATATGCAGTTACAATATAATATATAATTATTAATATATTTAATATAATGGAATGAAACTATTATTATATAACATATGATATGGAATATAATAATATTATTAAAATGGTTAATATAAAAATTATAATATTATAAAAGATATTATAATATTATATAAGAAAT